GAGACAAAAACATTAAAACCCATTACAAACGAGGCATTTGTTGCATCCAGTGGGGACATAATTACTGATTATAATGACTTATACTGTCTTTTTACGCGTTCCGTTGCATGGCACCGCGTAAACATAAAACACTGTCTGCATTTGTGATCGGAAAAATTACAAACAAGTGCTACTCTACACTGCTCAAAACTCGCGTTTGAATCGTCAGTGGCAAATCCTTTAAATGAAACCGTACTTACAGTCTGTGAGTCAGAACAGAAATTGTAGTCTACTCCAGTGTTTCCCAACCGGGGTGCCACGGCTGTCTGTCGAGAGCAGGGGTGCCATGTAAAAGCTTTCACAACGAAACACACAGCGCCTTCACGACATGGCGGCGGCAACAACAATACTACAGCGAGAATAAAAGTTATGCCTTCTTTCTTTGTGTGAACATATGGGCGGCGTTATGCAAATCTTCCCACATCGTGATGTAGACATGTGGGGGCGTGTTAGGACTAGGCGTTTTAGGTAGGTGTGGTTGACTCTTAACTTTTATAAAGAATATCTCTTTGGATTTGAGACTTTAGTCTTTGCAACTTTACAGATCTTCTTTATGCACCAAGAGCTTGTAACACTCCAAAGAGAAAGGAAAAATTGAAATCGCATCATATGACCCCTTTAAACTTCCAGTTTTATATATTGTTACTTTTGATAAGAAACAAAGTCTCATCTTTCAATTTATGTCCATTTTATTCAGGAAATTAAAACAATAAATGCCGTTTTGGCGCTCTTTAATGAGATCGCATATAAACGCCTCAATTCAAACGGCAGCGTGACCATCTCTTCCTCTTCACTACTAGTTTTAACGTGAAATAAACATGAATGAACATCTCAGGCCTCATGTAATCGCTCAATCAGTGTTTCACCTGTGGAAAGACGTAATTAAAACCGCTTGTAAACAAAATGTCACGTAGCGTTTCATTTACCTCAGGAAGTCATCAGTGTCCACAGCTCGTTATAAATGAAGTCTAAGAGCATTTCGCAAAATATTAGACTATATACTCATTATATTTTACTTTACCTTTTAGTGTTGTCTTAATTATTTAATGTTTAAATAAATCTGTTATGAAATGAGTTATGAGAGGCACTGTGTAAATGAATATATTTCAATAACAAATATTTTAAAAACTGCATTATGTGCGATTTACATGTTTGCATACATTTTTTTAAGTTGAGTGTTGATTATTATGTTTAAAAATAAATAGTAGCCTAATTAAATTTAAGTTTGGGCTCTGTTATTAATTGTAACCTTATAGTAGGCCTAATGTAAAAGGGCTCACTGTAGTTTAGAGCATAAGCTGAGGTAGATTTTTATCCCTAAGAAAATTAATTATAATTGAATTTATTTAAAGAAAGAGCACTTTGTTCAGTAAACCACTGTTTAATTAAAAAAAAAGTTGTTTTTCCCCTGCTGTACCGTACCATGACGTCAAAACCAAAGTACGTACCGAACCGTCATGTTTGTGTACCGTTACACCCCTAATATACAGTACTTCACCCGTCCCCACCCCCTGACTTTTGGGGGTCATTTTGAACCTGAAAACTTTTTTAAAAAGCTTAGGAGGGTTAATTTTTAAGATTAGTGGTTAAACAACATCTTTTACTGTCGTCCAGGAGCAATAGTCCCGCCATGTTTCCAGACATCCCCGGGTCCGTCCCAAAGCCTCTGTTCCAGGGCCCTCCTGTTCAGCAGAAGCCCCTGTCAGCGCTGGAAATGCGGACATATGACCCCGTCACTGGCAAACTGATCCGCCGGGGTCCCCAGGCCTCCCGTCCACCCTCTTATCTGCACTCGCATGGATCGTCCATGTCAGCCAAGGGAGATCTGTCCAGCCGCAGGTACTTCATATGTCTTAATGTGTTTATGTTTCTGTATGGCGCAGTTCATACTGGTGTTCATCAAATTGAGTCACTAAATGTCAGACTCCGAATCATGAATATGTCTTACGGGTCTTTTTTTCAGATTCTGCACATTACCCAACATTTTTTATTTCTTAAGAGCAAGGGAATGTAATGTTATATTATATAATGTTTGATTATATATTTATTAGGCATCTGTATGAAAGTCCAGTGGGAAATGTGCCTGGTTAGTAAGACCTTCCCTGATGGCGTTTAAGCGGGCTATAGCGGTCATATGCTGTGCTTGTCTTTTCTTTCCCAGCTCATATTGGTTTTCTCATGCAGTCTATTTCACATTAATCTCTAAGCTCTAAATAAAATCTGCAAGAAATAAAGCATTATGCCTTGGCAGCTCTGAGATTGTGAAACAGAAATTATTAGCAAATTTCATCAGCACATTTGGCCATTGCTGTGACAAGGGAATAATAAAAACAAGCCTGTAAATGCTGATTGAATGTGAGGAAGAAAAAAACCAACTCCTGCGTCATTATCTGATGAGGACAGAAATAAATTAGAAAAGAAATAGTTCACCTTAGGAGCAGTCATTATTTACTCATAAGTTGTTCCTGTATGACTTGCTCACTGCAGTGGAATATAGAAGGAGAACTTTTAAAGAATATCCTTCTCACTCTTTTCGGTATAATCAAAGTACACGAGGACTACAGCTGTCAGGCTCAAATGACAACAAAAAGCATCATAAAAATTAATCTGAACAACTTTTTTTTAAACTTATGTTTTGATCTGTTACACACATTAACATATTGGTAACACTTTACAATAAGGTTCATTACTTAACATTAGTTACATGAACTAAGAATGATCAGTATTTTAACAGCATTTATTAATCTTAGTTAATGTTAATTTCAACAGTTACTAATGCATTATTAAAATCAAAAGTTATGCTTGTTAACATTAGTTAATGCACTGTGAATTAACATGAACTAACAATGAACAGTTGTGCTTTTATTAATAAACGTTAACAAATACTGTAACAAATGTATTGTTCATTGTTAATTATGCATTGATTAATGTTAACTAATTGTAAAGTGTTACCTAAAAATCTTCCTTAGCCCAAACTTTTGGACTGTATACAATATTAGTTTAACCTTATGGTTTCGGAAAATGCCACCACTGATTAATGTTAACTAATTGTAAAGTGTTACCTAAAAATCTTCCTTAGCCCAAACTTTTGGACTGTATACAATATTAGTTTAACCTTATGGTTTCGTAAAATGCCACCACTGATGTCTAGGCTTGCAAATCATAGAAACACACTAATATGCATGATATACATGATAAAAAATTGAGATATAGCACTGGCCCAATGTCAGCTGGCCTGCAGCTCTCTCACACTGACCCTAACCACAGCCGGCCAATCTTATTGATGAGCCTTGGGTTTATAATGGCCTGAATAAACAATGGAAATGTTGGGTTTCTGTTTTCTTTAATGCCATTTTCATATGAATAATGCAGATCTACTGTCAGGGCTTCCATCCTGGTATTTGACAGTCACAGTAGACAAAGTAACTTCAGTTTATCAGTTTATAAGAGTTATTCTGTGTGTTTTGAGGCAACAGCAAAAAACCAAATTTTTTAGGTGACCGAAACAAATCCACTGAAGATTTAGAAATGAGCTTATTAGCATAGTAATGATGCCAATGTGCTGTTTATAATCTATGTTTATAGATTCATTATGACTCTCCCTCTTTTTTACCACTCATATTCTCTTTTCCACGCTGTTCCGTACTGCATGTCAGTTGTGACACTTGAATGATTGGTGTGACGTAAAGTGGCAAAACTACTATTTTCCATTCTAATCAGCAAAAAGTTGCCTACACTCACACACTAAAAGGCCCCAATATAAGGGAAATCGAAGAATGAACAAATTAGGCCAAAAATAAATTAATTTGGAGTTTATTTCTGGAGTTCGAAACAGTTTGCCAAAATTAACTTTTAAGGTCTCTATTCTAAGGATCTAACCTTTTTTGATGTGGAAATATTCTCCGGTTCATTTCTTCTGTCAAACACTGTTGAAGTCAGACGTGAGTAGAAACATGAACATACTTAAAAAAATAAATAAAAAAAAAACATATATACAGTGCACAGCATAAATGAGTACACCCCCTCTGAAACTTAACTTTACTTAGAAGACATGTTAGGGTTCTTTGGAGATGTCATGTAGACGTAAAGCAACAAGCCTGCTTGATCAATTACCAAAGAAGAATGCCAAAATTATTCAGCAAAATAAGATTTTATTATCAAAGTGATAAAATGTTGTGTTGCAAAAATGAGTACACCCTCCTGAAAGTTACTAAATTAAAAAATTTAAAAAAATGTATAGGTTTAAGGCTATTTTTGATCAACAGGTAAGTATATTGAACCGAAACTTTTAAAGACAAGTAATTTCCTGACAATTAAAAGTGTTATATAGCCCACTGAATCATACTCAGACTTAATGCTGACAACAATGAAACCATTTGAGAGAGAACTGTCAGGAGATTTATTTCTTAGCATAAAAGAGGACAATGGTACAAGAGGAATACCAAATGATTGTTTTAAGTGTGAAAATATAGCCAAAGTAACACAGAAATTCAAAAACAATGGACTTCTGTAAAAGGCCCCTGAAATAATCAGGTCTTCACTTTAAGCTTTCATTTAGTGATGAGTGAGTTTTTGCTAGAAAAAGAGCAGGAGAAACACTGTGAAAGTGTGA